TACATACTCACATAAGAATAAATATTAACAATATTCAGCCTGCTCCCATAATTTAACCATTTCCCTTCATTTCCACAGATCTTTCTCTCCCCACCATGCAGTGTGACCTCTTTTGAGAAGTCCCCATTTATTTGAAGCATTTGCCTTATGATTCTGAATCATACCGAGAAACTGTACAATAGAGGAAATCAAGCCTTCTAACTTTAGATTCTTGAATTCCATCCAAGTTAGGTGCCTAAAACAGTAAGTGTAACTATTTGCGTCCCTAGACATCCAGTTCTGGGATGACTTCATCAGGAATAAAGGACAGGATGAGATACTAAGTTTCATAAGTATAAAAATATTCAGCTATGTGATGCTGTCTTGAATCTGGGTTAAGGCTGACATGATACATAAAAGTTAATAGTGGCTAAGTACTGAATCGTTTTCACTTAAATGGTAAATCAGATGTTTGTTGATTAAAAACAAGAATACCACAACTACTTTTTGACACTCCTGCTGGTAGACTGAATTGCTGTTTCTAGAGTAGAGATAGGGCATACACAGAGGATGCAGTGGAGACTCCTAACACATGAGGCAAGGGCAATTTCAGATTCAATATTCATTCTACATCCCAGAAAATTTTAACCAAGCAGTGGTTTTAGTCTTTTATTTCAAAAAATCTTATGGTAAGTTCATAGTTTAGTTTTTTCATATGCTCGTAAAGAAGCAAAAGAGGCCTTGCTTCTACATGTCAGGATATTAATTTTTCAGAAGTGATAGTGGTACAGAATTACCATCCTGAAAAGTGTAACAATTCAATTAGAATGAAAGGCCTCTGGTAATAATCACTACACTTGCAGTTAATGGATATAACTGAAGAGTAAAAGAAGTCCCGTTCACCCTACCTAGAGCCCATGGCTCTAAGCATTCATTTTATTCAGTGCATTACTGCGTTGGAACTTTTGCTTTCACCAATTAGTCACAGTTTCTCCTGCTTCTCATGGTAAGAATAAAAGCTGCTCAAAGCTGTCATTGTTCCATAATCCAGAAGAGACAGTTGCATAATTACTAATTATCAGTGAGTCATATTTGTTGCAGAGCAGGGAAAGCCAAAGCGAATGTCAACTCTGCACTGAAGAAAAGTAACAAGATAACATTAAGGAGGAAAGCATTTATAAATATCTTGAGAGTGGAAGCAGGGTTAAATTTAGTTCGAGATGGCAGAGAAGCAGGTCAGATTGGTTAAGTAACCTTTAACTTGCAGTCATTTGCAGAAAGGAGGACAGAGTTGTCTGAAAAAGCTCTGAAGAATACTCTAGAAGAGAGCAAGAAAACCTAAAATTTAAAGTGATGAGACCTGTCAACCTTCGCTTCTAAATTTATGATGGTACACCACATTAAAAATAAGAGCAGACAATTCATATCAGCTCCACTGGAACTATTTTACAGTTTCCAGAAATTTACTCAGACATACAGTGAATGTCACTGGGCTAGACAAAGTAAATTGCACATACTTCAGCATAAAAAAGATTGACAAATAGCAAGAATACACATTAAAGCAATTGACTTACATTTCTCCACAGTAGCCATTCTTTGGTGACTTTTCTTCACTTCTGTTTTAAAGTCTGCTCAGCAGATAGTGAAATATGTAAAAATATTACGAAAAGTTACACTTCCCAGCTCTGTGCAGGGTACTTTTCAGATCCAAGTTACCTCTATAAACCTGTTCTTTGTTTTTGAACAACATACAATCTAATACTGTACTATGAAGAAAGGGTGAAGTGTTTAACAGCACAAGACACATAAGGGATAACATCTTAAAACTTTTTTTTGTTCTCTTCAATTTTGAATCAACTAAAGAGACCAACAAAAACCATTTATATTTGGTAGTTTGAAAGTCTTAAAGTCAAGTAAAGGAAAGGTTATGCTTTAAAGCTGGCAGACCACACACCACAGCTTACAGATCACACATGATCTCTTTAACTGTGCTCTTGATAAAAGGAGGAATCCATGAAATCTGAAGATTCCAAGAAATTAAGCTTAAAACACAATAAACACAAACCATTTTGATGATGTACTAACTTAATGCTACCTTTTCCTCCATCACCACAAAACACAGATGCTACAAATAGCTGTATTGCAATTCTTCGAAACGTTAATCCAAAAGCTACTGCAAAACCACAGTACCCTTTTAAACCATATGAAAAGGCATCTATCTAAGTTTGAAACTAACACTACAAATTAACAGGCAATGACAGTAAGGAGAAAACAAGCTGACAGACAAGAAAGTCACCACGATCAAGTATATCTCACCATGTGTTTTGATATGACCACATGAAAATTTAGATTGTGGGGGGTTTGTTGTTTTTGTTTTGTGATTGTGAAGGTTTTGGTTTTTAAAATGCAGTATTAGTCATTAACTTGACTTTCAAAGCTTCTCACAAAGAGCATACTCATGTATATTAAGATGCCATTTACACTATCCAGTTATTTTCCCCAAATTAGACTAAAACTATGTAAAAATACAATAAACACTGTAACAACACTTTCAAGGGATTTGTTTATTTTTGGTTTACAAACAAAGGCACCCAATATTTCTGTTTATGTCTTATAAAAGCTCACGGATTTAGCATTTGTTTCCAAACATCTGTTCCTACAGCAGAGAAAAACATTACAGGAAAGTGTAATTTTTTTTCCTGGTCCCAAATTTAAATACCAGTAACTTAAGTGATCATGTTGTTTCAGACTGCTCTTCTTCCTATTTAACCAACTGGATTACCTCCTGTAACTTGCTAGTCAGTACAGTGAGTCTAGCTTACTGTATCAAAATATAGTTCTGGTATATTTTTGATCAACATCCATTATGTGCAAACACTGTATGAAGAACTGCAAGAGAACAGGGTTCTGATATGGAAAAACCTCCAGAGTTTCACAGACTGACCACAGGAAGTGACAAAACTAATGTAATAAACATGACACAATCTTTTGTGAGTTCAATAGGATGCCTGATGAGTTTGTGTAAGATACCAATAGTGCACAGAACCACGGTCTTCAAAGAGGGAAAAAAAAATGGGTTTCTAAATTGGCAAATGTTTAAAGAGTAGACATTAAATATCCTTATGTTTAAAGTAATCCTTTTCTTTGTTATTTATTCAAAAGAATAGATTTCTAAGCAGTGTTTTGGACCAGAAATAATTAGTTCACTGGCTTCATAGTTCTCAGTATTAACAAATCAACATTAAAAGTGTCATGTGTAACAGTTATAAACAACCAAAATTCATAAGTGAATTTCTTCAAAATCATTTTCAGAATATGATACATTTGTCTTTTGCAAACTTCAGCCACATGCCAACATGGGACAAGGGGTGTCATCGGAGAGTAGGCACCTCTGAAAAAAGTCTACAATGC